ATGTATGTGTGTATGTATGTGCGTATTGAAAATGTGTATCTCTACATATAAATATGCACATATCCATCCATCCATCCATCCATCCCTCCATCCATCTTTGCACTCGCGCTCGACAAAGTCAGGCGAGGGTTTGTAAAGAGAAACTGCACCAGGCACGAACATTTTCAGCTCGGCCATAGACATTGTCAACGACCACCAAGTGACGATCCGTCCATCCGTACATACATATATGCATATGTGTATCTGTATCTATATATTTATATTATATACATATACAACTGACAGACAAGTAGACATACAGATGGATGACTGACAGATGCAGACAGGTAGACGGATAGATTTTGAACTAGACAGGTAGATACATGGTTAGATCGATCGATAGATAGGTAGAGAAATGGAGAGACAGACAGACGGACAGATAGACGGATAGGCAGAGAGATGGATGGAAAGATACATGGACTTAGGTAGAAACGTAGATAGTTAGATAGATACACAGAGCGAAATATCGATAGATGGACAGGTGGATAGACAGATAGCGGATGAAAAAGAAAGGTACTGACACAGCCAAATAAACATAGATCGAATAGACAGATATGTAAACAGATGGATCGATGGATGGGCGGAGGGATGGATGGATGGATTGGTTAGATACATACGTAGGTAGATAGGTAGATAGCTAGATAGACGGAGAGATGGGTAGAAAGAGAAATAAAGATAGAGGGATACATAAAACGATTGACTGACAGATGTTGTTCGGTAGACGGGTAGACAGAAAGAAAGAAATATAGATAGATAGACAGAGAGGGAACGGACAAGAGAGAACGAGAGAGAGAGAGAGGCAGGCCCAGTCATTTACATATATATATATATATATATATATATGTATATATATATATATGTATATATATATATATATATATACCTAAATATTTCGTTCGACACCTATACACACACACACATATATATATGCTCACACCCCCCCCCAAGACCTACCGCGAGGTGCTTCGGCTAGCAATGGGTAGTAGAACATGTAAGGATTTGAGGAAACCATTAGGATAAAATACACTCATACATAAACAATGGAAACGTATATCGTGTATAATCAATAGCTGAATACACTGTAATGACCTACGACGGCGCGACATCGCCGTTGGCGGATTTGGGCAAGCTTCAATGCCTGCAATTGTTTAATAGGATACTGCCTAAATGTTCCGGATATTCATAACTCTGGTCATATAATGACCATAGGCATAACCCGAAGACAGGACCAAGACAGAACAGTGTCTACATCCTACGTAAGATCGTTAGATGCGCCGGGTAACTTTGTGTTTGTCATTGTCTGTTTTTAATTTTGTTCATGTACTCATAGGCATAACCCAAAGACGGGACCAAAACAGAACGATGTGTGCATCCTACCTAGGATCGTAATGAGGGTTACATGTGCACACATGTTTATTCTGTGTGAAGCTCTTAGGTTACTCATGCGCCAATGTGTATAATAGCTATTACTAGTGCGAATACTAATACTGATACTAAGATTTCTATTCCTACGAATAAGGATATTACTGTTCATAACATAATAGGCTTAATGGTTAATACTAGTATTAAAAATTGCACTACTAATTCGAATAGTAGTGCTGATGGGAATATTAACACTCCTGGGGATACTAATACGCATATTCTTATTAACTGTTCTCAATATGAATACTAATAGTACTAGTTGTTTGGAATACTAATACTTGTCCGAATATTCATACCAATACTCAGGCTACTGCGATTATACATAATAGGACATTAATATGGGTATTCGTATTAAGGTCAGCATTTCCTTCGAAAGTATTCATATGCGCATCATAATTCATCTTAATACTCGTACTGATATGAATTAGTATGATTACAAATACTTTTACGAAGACGGGTACTTTCAGTAATACCGATACTAATATGAATACTAGTGTTCCTACGAATATTAAAAAACATACCCATATTGATAGTAATTTTATTTTTTATTTGTTACCAATATACACGCAAATGCTAACATTAATACTAATATGCACATAAGTGATACAGTTCCTCCGCAGATTAATGCGCATAGTCTTATTAATTATTCTCAGTATTTATATTCACATTAAAAAACCTACACTAACATGAATAGCAGTATTACCACTTGATACTCCAGATAATACGATTATGCATAGTATGAACAGCGATACTGCTATTGATACCAATATTAATGCTCCTACGAATACTAATAATCACGTTCAAACCAAATACAAAAAACAGACACATCAATGTACCAAAGAATCTGTATTTTCACATACCAATAAATAATATACTCGTATACTACTATTCCAATGTTACCATAGACTATGAGACTATACACTGGTTAATATTAACACTAAGAATAAGGCAGAGACTAAGACCAAGACTAATACGAATACTAAAACTCACACTAGACATTAACACTACCATTAGTACACCTATTGTATAGACTTATATTCAGACTAATACTAACGCTGACATTGGAATTGACATTGACACTGACACCAACACTAACAGTAACACGAATCAACACGCTAGAACGCAGATACTAATACTAACACTAATGCCTAATGCACATCTGAAGACTACTGCGCGTAAACAACGAAACCATTTCCGATCAAGCATGCTGCGCGCTGTATTGGCTCTAAGGCTCCGAGAACCAAAAATCCAAAAAACCAAAAAACCAAAAATCCAAAACCTTTGTCAGGGGGGTCGAAACTTTTGGATTTTTTGGTTTTCCTAGGGTTTTTTTGGTTTTCCAACAGAAAACCAAAAAAATCCAAGGTTTTTTTGGTTTTCCAGCAGAAATCCAAAAAAATCCAAGGTTTTTTTTGGTTTTCCAGCAGAAATCCAAAAAAACACAGGTGTTTTTTGGTTTTTCACGAGAGACACAGCAGAAAAACCAAAAAAACCTTGTGTTTTTTTGGTTTTCCACCGAAAATCCAAAAAAAGCCATGGTTTCGCCAAGGCAAAGCCCAAAAAACCAAAAAAGACCTAGGAAAACCAAAAAATCCAAAAGTTTCGGGCCCCTCAAAAAGGCTTTGGATTTTTGGATTTTTGGTTTTTTGGTTTCCGCCGTCGTATCGTATGGTTTCTTTTAATGTTTCTTGCTTATGAATACAGGCATATGAATTTGAAAGCGGACATGAGTAGGCACGACGTTGTAAAGAGACATGACTTCACATCAGCCATGATAGAGAAGGTATCATCCCCGAAAATTACGCAAAACACGAATCGTATGCCAAACGCGAATCCCTGCCAAGAGAAGGTTTTGACGGTATTTACAATGGAAAAGAGGCCGAGGTAGGTCATGGGGGGGGGTGTGTCCATATATATATATATATATATATATAATGTAATATGTGTGTACAGATAGATATACACATAATGCTTCAGCCTCAAGCACGGCGATTAAGCCAGCAGAATAAGGGCACTACAAGTATAATTGTAGAAAGGGGGCTGTAATAAACGTACTATAATAAGAGCATCATAATGAGGGTCTTATGATTTGCGGACAATGCTTGCGCGAGCGAGCGGCAAGGGTATCTGAAGCTTCGACACTTATCAGCGGCTGGATACCGTCGTATAATTGTGCGAAACACACTGAGAGAGACACCCAATCTCCCGGACGTAATTTAAAGGGGTGCTTAGCGCAATCTGCGAACGAGGGACAGCCTCCGTAGAAAAGGAAGCGGCTCAGGGAATCCTCTTATGGTGTGAACTTCTATCACGCCTGCAGCTCCCGCCAGAGTGCTGGGAGGAGCCCCTTCATCCCACTCAGGCTTGGTCGGTTAAGGGAACTGAGGTTGAACCTGTTGGGCTTAGGATTTTGAAGTTCTGGGTCGGTTGATACTTTGTGGAATGGCTACGGTAAGAAACCGCCCTGTGGGCCGCGGTCCTCTCAGCGTTGCTGAAACTGCCAGTCCACAATGAACTGAGCAGTGCTATTCCAGGCCTTAGAAACGGCGGGCAAGTAGGGCATGTTCGAGTATTACGGCATGAAGCAAGAGATGAAAATGCGGAATGGACGATCATGATAGCGCGGAGGAGGTCGATAACGCTCATGCCGGCACTGATGGCAATCGTGGCGACTAGTACTAACCCCTTCATCCGTTTAATAAAAAGACACCCCAATACAAAGAATTCCCCGGCAGGAAAAATTCCAGTTTCGAGCAAAAGTTCAATTATGACCAAGTTTAAACTATGTTGAATTGGGGGTCAGGTAGGATGGCCATAATATAACGGATTTGGAACTACCAGGCTAGGGTCGCATGGAGAATTTGGACGGCCGGCATTTGGAGCAGGAACGCGGCGTTTTAGCTGTCTAGCAGCTAGCATTGGAATTCCCAAGCTAGGGTCGCATGGAGAATTGGCACGGCCGGCATGGAGAATAGGAACGCGGTGGTCTATTCGCAGGCTGAGGAAGGTAAATAAGTCAGTAGTTGCCGTCTCGAATCCGAAACTCCCAGGCTAGGCAGCGGGGTGCGGATTGGGATTCGCAGGCTGAGAGTACATTGCTGTCTCGAATCCGGAACTCCCAGGGCGAGGTAGAGGGGTGCGTATGACCGCTACAAATACGCACCCCGCTGCCTCCTAGCCTGGGAGTTCAGGCTTCGAGACAGCAATTACCGCCCTAGCCTGGGAGTTCCTAACATTCCAGATCCCCTGCTTTTTGCGGAAACCGTCCCTCGCCTGGAGATTCACAATTCAGACTCGAATCGGAGAATCAAGCCTTAAACCCACCGAAATCTCCATAATGTAAAAAATTGCAGGCCCAAAATGACTCTTTAGATTGGGTGGGTGGGGGGGGTTATTAAACGGATGAAGGGATTAGTAGTACTAGTACTACTAGTACTAGTACAAGTACGTACTTGCCCGTCATCATCCGTCATCTGAACTGGACTTCTAAAACAAACCGAACTAGGGCTAAGGAAAATTGAATTGCATCCTGGAGGCTGTCAGAAAGTTGAATATCCCGCGGTTTGTGCCGTAGTTGATGCAGTTTGCGCCGTCGACGGCCTCGCCGTCAGCGGAGGAAGCGTGCTCCTCAGCTTCTGCCTCATGGGAAGGGCACGATGTGCTTTCATGTTCAGGTTCTGCATAACAGCTTGCGAGACGGAACTACGAAAAGCCCTGACCGAACTCAAGAGTGGCCTTCCCCACTGCGCCTCTAGACTCGAGACATCTGACAAACTGTGGGCGTCAGCCGCATGCGGACTGTGAGACGCGACAGGTGGCAGCTCAGCTCACGTAAAATGATCTTCTTGCTTGTGCCAATGACGTTCCGAAACTATATCATTTCAAGGCTATACCTTTATACCTACCGACTTGCATGCGAAAAATAAGTACGACGCCACCGCTACCACCACCAACAACAACAATATGATCAGCAACACCAACAACAACGACGGAAACGACAAAGACAACGGTGACCACAAGATACCACAAGTACAGCGACCACGACAACCACGATGGCAACGACATGCAACGACGACAATGACGGTTACAACTACGACAACGACGAGGCAAAGACCAGGACAGCGACGACCCGCAACGACGACAACGGCTAGACGACGACACCGACTCAAGGACCGAACGAACGACCTGCCGGACCGACCGTCCTCGGTGCACAGGCAATGCACGAATCCTGAGAGCAAAGCCTGACACTCTTGGGGGCCTCCGGCCATCATCATCGTCGCCGATACCGCATTCACCCACTCACTACTGCGCCCGTATACGGTTACCATTGCCATCACCCTGATTCGGGCCGCCAATGCAACTAGCATAATCTTGAGAAACATCTGCTGCATGATAACCATAATCTTCTGCATCGTCACCTTGATCTGTGGGGCAGGGCATGGCGAAAGACACATACACTGACAAAAGCCCGGACTTGTTTTCCCAAGAGGTTACAAGCTAGCTAACTGAATCTCACCAACAGAAACGTGTCTTGGAGGTTGTTGTGGCTCAGAATCGGAACAGAATCCCGTCCACCATGCATCTCAGCGGCGCGCTAGGAAGCGGTACCTCTTGCCCCTCGGCATACACCGTCTTTCGCGTCTCCTTCAACCCGCGCGAGAATCCACGCCAGTACCTCAAGATGGATCATGCCCGTCTGTGTACCATGAAAACCGTGTAGAAAGGTGCACATGTCGCCTCGAGCGAGACAAATCTAAGCCGTCTTCCTAGACGGCATTGTCAGCTCTAGAACCTGTGATTAACGCTCAACGCAGCCACCGACTCCTACAAGCCAATCCGTGCACCCGCCCTCAGGCTCTGTTCATGCTGGAAAACCGATATGATCGAAACTCTGTATCTGTAAACCCAAAACCCTTGTTCCGCTGCATCCGGGGCACTCTTGATTCAGCTCTAGGCCCTGCCCTGAGGAGACATGAGAGCGCACGGCATAAGGCTTGAAGAAACAGGTTTTGACTTCAGTTCAAGCGAAAGTTCGGTCTCTCGCCACGATTCTCACCGCTGTGGCCACAATTGCTTCCCATACTTATTGAGTACCTCCCCTGAGCCGTGGACGAAGCTTTTTCACCTCATCGGCCAGGATGTCGTAGCCACCCTGGGCTGACCGAGGGTTCAAAGCGGTCTCCGATCGGGTTCCGCTGCCAGCCAGGTCGAGATTTGTGCACTTGAACTTCCATCCAAGATTCCGCCCCCAAGGCCTTACCTATAGTCTTCATTGTAGCTCCTTTTGTGGTTAACCTAAACATATATTATAGGATCCCAACCATAAAACTGGTTAACCCAAAAAAGGAACTACAATGGAGACTATAGGTACATCCCAACCCTTTCCCCCGAACCTCTCAAACGCTAAACCCCCCACATCAACCCGCCTGAAGGTTGGAGATCTGGTCACCCACCTCATCCAGCTTCGACTGCTCTTGAGAGATCATGTCCTCACATGACAAGGTTCATATACATACATTATTTAGTTGTTTATTTATGTGTATATTAATATGTCTATATATATATATATATATGTACAAACATTTGAACGCTGTCCGTGAGTCCGTCGGTCCATCTGTCTGTCCTTCTATCTACATCTATCTGTCGGTCTATCCGTCTGTTTGTCTACCTGTCACTACCTGTCTCTCTGTATGGCTTCCTTCTGCCAGGCTTACGGGGCGAGTAAAGCCCCGCGGGCATTGAGCCTGCCCGTTTGCTTCTGGCGGACGCTTGGGAGGGTGTGAAGGCTAAGGATGCTGGGTGGGGTAACAGTGCAGATGTGATTCTATCTCTCTATTTCGGTCTCCATCTGCATCTGTATCTGTATACTTTGCGTAGACTTGCGTATGCATTTGAGCATGTCTATCTGTAGATCGTTGTGGATCCAGCTCCTTATCAAAACTACAGCCCTATCTCCATGTCTAGATATCTGTCTATCTACCTGCCTACCGTGGTAGCTATCGACTATGGATGTATCATTCTCCATTTACCTATCTCACGGGCTGTCTATCTGCCTATCTATCCCACAATCTGTATGCATAACACCTACCCGCCCACACACAAACACACACACACGTCCATTCATGCATGCATAGATCCATGCATGCTTGCGCATGTTTACAAATTTATGTACTTTATGGCACATGTGTCTATCTGTCTGTCCGTCCGTGCCGTCCGTGTACAGCGAGAGAGAGAGAGAGAGAGAGAGAGAGAGAGAGAGAGAGAGAGAGAGCAAGAGAGAACGAGATGAGGAAATAGAGAAATAGAGAGAGAACGAGAGAAAGCGAGAAAGAGAAGAGAAGGAGAGAAAGAGAAGGAGACAGAGAAGCATGGAAGAAAACAACCATGAATACTGTTTGAGCTGATCGAGTCCTGGGGTTGCGGCCATGCATGCCGCACGGGCAGCCTCAAGTGCCGATAAGCCTCTTTAGTTTCTTGTACAGTTTTCAGATCTGCTGTGTGTCCGAAGCTCGAAACAGAGACAAATACTAATACTGAGTTCTTGCCCGGCAGGTGTCAGAACACTGGTCTGACCATCGTCGTCTCGTCTGCATGTCGGTGCAGTGTTACCAGCAGTCTGTCAGTCTATCTTGTGCCCCTGGAGTATAAGTACAGTATAGGCTTGTCGCTATCGCTTGCACTATCTTCCACTCTTAAGTCCTTGTGCTCTCGAAGCTCCGTCGTGTGCAGGATGACTGTCTCCACCTCGGAAATGTTATGTGGTTTAGTGGCTGAGTCTGCACTTTCTGCCCCTGCTCCCTTCACAAGGACCAGCCTCGAGATCTGAACCTCCTCTGAGCTGTTTCACTGGCTCCCGCAGGACAGAGCCCTGAACACCCCTAAATGCCCCTGCCTAAATCCCACAGGCTTTTTTGAATGATCCCCAAGCACACCCCCCACCCTCAAACAAACCCACATTCTTCAAGCTTCGGAAACGAGCCACAGCCTTCCTCTGCTTTGCTTCGTAGGACATGCTGTCGAACATACCTTAGCAATCATAGAGTTTAGGATTTTAGGGCTTTCCGAGGGCTTCACTTGAAGTGTTTAGGGTCACAGAGCCCAGTTCTGGCTTGCATTCTCACACTTGGACTCGGCTTGAATCCCGGAAAACCGTGAAGAATCCGATTTCCGAAACAGCACCAACACCCCCTAAGTTGCGTGGTCGTTTTCGGCGGGGCCATTCTCGAAGGCTCCGGCAGGTATGAGGCTCATGCCCGAACGATGGTGAAGGGCAAGGGTTTAAAGGGGTTGAGGGATGATGTGTCTAATGATGCAGTTCTCAGTATGTCTTTCTGCGCGCTGAAGGCCAAGCTACTGCGAAGCATCCTGTCGATGTCCACCTTACCATCGGGGCCCAGCATTCTTGTCAAGAGAGCGCAGAACTCGTCAAAGTCCTTGCGTGACTTGGCAACTGCATCGATTCAGCAGGTTGTGCTCCAAATACCTACGCCACAAACATAAGCGACTGTAGTAATATGAAGCCACCATTACGCTCTGCATGTGAGTTTATCATGCTCCATTGTGCGAGCATCATTCTAAAGACAATGCTTTCGGTTTATTCTGATGCAGCATACTGACAGCCTGCAGGCTGCAAAAGACGTTGCTGAGCCATAGCGCGAGCTCCTGCCTGCTTCCACACAAATTCCAGTCTGCTGGTCCACTTCCAGATGGGTGGTGTATGTCTCTAGAACACATGCTATAGGTCAGGTAAGCCAGGGAAGCCGTCTTCGGATCACGCAGAAGGCCAGGGAGGATTCATGTTTTTCGGGGCCGGGGGGAGCAAGCTCGGCTGGATGAGGGCAATGTGTGGTCTGACCTACCTCGTTCGACCCAACTCGAACTGCATGTCGCTGGTTTCGACACATAAGAACTTAGACAACCTCAAGCTGCAGCTCCAGACCCGAATCTGTAAGCCCTTGTCTGAACCGTCGTGATTCATGCCATGAGGCGATGTCGCCGCTCTTGTCAATGTCTATTGCCTCCAGGCCGGAAGACGATTCAGGTTTAAACATGATTAAACAGCAGGGCAAGCACGAGCTTCAAGAATGCGAATGGAACCCCAGACTGTAAACGACAGCGGCGAAATCCTCCAAAACACTTTTCCGGTTGATCTGCAGGTCAGCTACTTCGGGCAAACCGGACAGCACTGGCCATTGTCGGATGTCGGCATGACTTCCTCCTCTTCGCACATTGTCGGGAAACACCACACGTACGGGCAAACGTCGCTCTCTTCTGCACCATACTTTCCGGTGGCCCCCACGATCTTGGGCTCGATCTTGATGTCGGGATTGACGCAGTACGCGCAACAATGGCCATCATACTTCGTCGCGGTGAAGCCGGTTGGGCACTTCAGCTCTCCACAAACGACGTCCTCGCACGCGTCGACGATGCCATCAGTGGCTTTCACCTGAACCAACATCTTCGTGTGCCTGTCCTGGTCCATGCCGATCACTGCATTGCCTCCCAGAAGCTCTTCTGGCAGAGATGTCTCAACCTCGCCCTGGCTGGATCCACGAATGTTCGTAGCGACTCCCAGATGCACCAGAGCAAAGATCAGCGAGAGATGGCGAACCATGGCGAGCACAGCCAAACTTCAATCGAGGCTGGATTTGAACAGCTCGGGAGAGCTCAACAAGCGGCAGTATGGTCCGACGTCGGACATCGAGGTACGTCGGGCAGAGCTACTCCGATGTCGAAACTTGCATCTGCAGGCTGGCATATCTATACACTAATTATATTGTAGTCACCCATTATCGCTCAGTCCAGACACCTGGCACGTATCACACGGCATGATGACAAGCCTCTAGCATGGCGAAGACGATATCCATGGGTGGCTCCAGGCCGATCTGGTGCAAGACTGCGGTCAGCTCCTGTGTCCGGTGTAAATCGTCCACGCTAGGGCTAGGGGTCACAGTGCGATTTATGTTCGTTTTGGTTCAGAGGGTCTCGGGCTTCGAGCCGTAGCTTTGCTTATGTTATTGCTGAGCTATCATGTCAGCCACTGCAGGAACAAGACTTGGCAGTGTTTTACAAGCAGCCGGACATTTTGAGGGCGATTCATACAAAGCCGAACCTGCTACACGCATGCACATACTGACATATGTACTGAGTCTAAGTATCTGTGCAACATGTCTGATCCCGGTGGCTTGCTTCTACAGTGCGGCAGGACAATACGTCTTGAGAGGAATCGTTGGTTTGACCGAGCACAGCACTTCGCTTTGGCATTGCTGAATCTTCGAACCACCAATGATCTTAGGGTGAAGCGCGGCTGCAAGTATGCAAGCAGGACCGACTCCGAATGCCAACGTCTACTGTCTACTCATGGTTTACAAGGTTTATTATAGGTTTATAGGGTTACGGGTAACTCACAGAATCCAAGCTCAACTCTAGCAAGAAGGTGCTTGAGATTCTGTACATTTCTAGGGGTGCGGGAGAGGCGAATGACCGTAGGTTGGCTTGGGTGAAAGGAAGCAGGACTGCTGCCTCAGCGCACGTGTTTAGGGCTTATCCTTCTGTAAAGCCACTTTGACAGGGGTTCGCTCCGAAACGCTGATGGTACCGGAGCCATCCAGGTCGAACTCGTGGAAAGTTTGCTGGAAAGTAGCAATCTGCCTTGGGTTTAGGATTTCTTCCCCCCCACTTGGCAAGGACTAGCCCGCATGCAGGTTAGGAAGTTAGGGGGCTCAGCACTACGGCTTGAGGGTTGAGTGCTTCGACTCTCGCAACTTGGAATAAGGCAGGCTAGGCTTCACGAGGACCTGTCTTTCACTACTTGGCACAACCAGGTCCATGCAGACAGGCGATCCACACAAAGGGCAATACACAGTAGGACCGAGACAGTTCTTCTGACGAGAGCTCGGGAAATGCATACTCGAGGCGATTCAAGAAAACACTCTGCTTAGCACAGCTGGAGATGTGCTACCTTCCTGCCTGACGACGGCGACAAATTCTGTTCATGATGTAAGCGATGCTCATGAAGATCGAAGGCCAATACATGGGTAAGAGAAACGACAACGCGAGAGATGGAGATGGCGGATGCGGCATGTTGCAGCTGCCGCGCTGAGCTGATGTACAGCCTACTGAAGCTTTGTCCTGTTTATCCGGCAGACATTGAAATACTTTACCACTGCATGATCTGAATGAGAACGCACAAACACGCATACCAGCCGGATCCTTCTCCTCTCCTTTTTGTGCTATCTTCCTTCTGTGCTGCTTCATGGCAACTAGTCAACTAGTCCCGCCGTTGGCTTTTGATCTTCCTTGTGCTGACGCATCTCGACGCCCCGGCGCCAGCTTCCAGCAGCTAGGCTGTGCTAGGCAGCCGGGCAAAAGCTTTCAATGCAGGACTTGGCTACTCTCCGAGTCTGGATCTGTCTCCGTCCAGTCTCGGAACACAGCCACGTTGCCACCTGTCGGTGGGCCGCCGGGACTTCTGAGATTTCTGACAGCACGCTGCCGACAAAACCTATCCGAGCCGAGGCTGGGAGCCTAAGGACACTGCAACAAGGGCTCAAGCCTCGGATGATGTTTGCCTCCTTGCCTTGATTTGTGTCATCCGATGGATCCCAGCGTCGGATCTAAACGGCTGCAGACATGAATTCGCAGATGCCACGGATCTCGGTGTAACGCAAACTGCAAAAGCCAGTATTCCTACAAGTATATAGCAACAACAACGCATCCCCAAAATCCGGGCCAAACGTGCCTTTTGCACGTCTAGCTTGGCTGCATGTGAATGGAAAGCGAGAGCTCGATTGATCTATCAGCTGAGATCAAGCCATGGCCTGACACTTACGTTTATCAAGTCGAAACCCCCCCGAACTCTCATTGTTAACTCGGACTCTTGCATGCCGTTGCACGCCTGTCTCGCATATTGCGCATGCAAGGCGAAGCCTCTAATCTTGAGGGGATCTTCGCACTGATAGAGTCGGAAAAACAGATCCTACAAAATCTGGATTTGCCCAAGAGACTCCGCGAGGAAAGGTCACGGAATTTCCTTGCTGGGCGTGGCTGCCGTAGGCGTCTCCTTGGCAGACGTAGGCGTCTCACCCCAATTACAGGGACGAAGGCACTCATTCTCTCCTAGCTGATACAGCAGGCGCTGGATGTCATCGTCGCTGGCAGAGGCGGTGAGGGGGACGTACCACTTCGGATGCAGTGTGAGGCCTTCGTGGCGAATCCACCAGATGCCACCTTTGCAGTGAGCATTAGGAGGTCCGCATGGTCCGCTGTAGCCGTCCTTGCGGTACCACTCCTTGTAAAAGTAGCCGAAATCAAAGTCGCAGGGAGGATTGGTAAGCTCGGCAACCGTTGGCATATATGGATACCTCCTGTCAAAAAGCTCAGCGGCCTGTCGCACACGCTCCTGGTTGGCGGTGGTACTGTTGATTCCATTCCACCAGCCGAACTTGACACCTTCATCGGTTTCCGGATCATACTCCCGGTGGCTATGCATCCAAGACGCATAGTCCTTGATGCCCACCAACTCATCCAGGGAGATCTCACCCGCATCCTCGTAGTTCCAGGTGCACGTGCCGTTACCATTCGGCTCCATGTTCGGGCAGTAGCCTCCTGGCTGACTAGCCTGGCACGAGTTGTCCTTGTTGTAGTAGAGATTGTTCGGACAGGCACCGGGCAAGGTGTACCAGATGGCGTTGGGGTAGTACACCGGGTGCATGGGGAAGGGATACTCGCCCAGCTTGTTGCAGCCGACGTTATACCCGTAGGCGGAATACTCATACTCGTTCTTGTACGGCTTGAGATCTGGAAGATACTGAGCCTTGAATGCACCATCACCACAGAACTTCGGCTTGTAACCTTCTGTTGTTCCGTCCTTGTTCGTGACATTTGTGCGCCCGCAAACAAAGGGGCCTGTGGCCTGCCCCTTGTCATAGGCCAGGCGAACTCCGAAGTGCATCCCGAGCCGAAGAAGCGGTGCAGTTGCACGCATCTGCACCTTGTAGCGCAGAATTCGCGTGATTCGGAATTTGCGGGGCGCTTGAATGACGACCTCATGGTGGAGGTACCACAAGACACCCGGCAGGCTGCCCAGGTTGGTGTTCAAGGGAGGGTACACTTCGTCTGACACTGCACGGTACATGTAGAAAGTCAGCAACGGGGAATCACTAGGAGCATTCAACCCATCCTTCCATGTCCAAGGAAGGGCAGTCACGTTCACGGAATACACGTTGGCTGGAGCGGGTGGTGTCGTCTCCACAGGCACAGCCGCAACGGGTGCGGACGGCCGGCTGGTGTCTGGCAAATCCGGCGTTACAGCGGGCGGCTGCGGAGGAGGCCCTGGAATTGCAGGTGCGGGCGGAGACAAACATACTGCTTGGTAGTCCGAGCAGCAGTTGCCGTAGTCTTTGCAAAGGCTGTTGCACTGACAAGGTCGCCAACTGACGTAAGTCTCTGCACAAGTGAACTCACCACAGCTACCCCACTTGGCTGTCGATGCTCCGCGGAAGGACGTGGTCTTGTTGATCGCCGAAGCTTTTGGCAATGCTGCCAAAACCGGTGTCCCTGCATTCCTCGGATCCTTGCACTGCTGAATGTAATCATAACAACAGTTCTGATTCTTGAAGCAGTCTCTGTTGCACTGACAATCCTGCCACCTTACATACTCATCCTTGCATCCATATCGTACACAAGTTTTCGACTCAGTGAGGATCTGTGCATTTGACTTTCCATCCTGAGCTGGCTGTCTTAAGGACTTTTTCGTAGTTGCAGCGCAGTCTGGCCCTTGGCACGGATTGTCTGAACTCCGTGCCACTTCCTCGCAGGCAGATGGCAGCGCAAAGGCTGCGAGGCATATGCCGACCAAGATCTGGCGCATGAGGGTCGTGTTACTTGCCTGGAAAAAGCGGGCACCACGCAGCGCTGCCTCAAGAGCCAGCTAACGGCATGTTCGAGCCGCGAAGGCCACGTCAATCATCATGCTTCATTTCGATTCCCCCCCCATGGCGCTGACACCATGGGTATGCTCTACGACTCTCGAAGAGTCGAACCCACAATGCTTTCCAGAAAGTCGCATTGTAGCCAGGTTGGGTTTAGGTTGGAGTCGCGTCCCCTAGATTGAACAGCTTCCCTCATTCGAGCCTCGCCAGCTTGGAGCTGAGAGTCATAAGATCGAGCTTTGGTCCAATTTAAATATTCCGACCTGACCTACCCGTCAAATGCCCTGATGCTCGAGGGCCCCAATCCGGTAGAATGCTCAACTGCAACCTGGCAGCTGCTCTGTCAAGAGGATCCCGCTCTTGAAGACCACACCAGTCTTTGTATCTTCGTCGTCCTGCACAGCTCTTTCGAGACCGCTGGCATCTTCACAAAACTAGCCCGGAATGGTGTAGGGGTGCTTCAGGTTCTCCGGGTGTTACTTCATATGAGCCTCGTCGTGCACTGCGGAGCCTGTGGCTGGCGAAGTGCATTTCCCTACCAATCCTTCTCATTGATGAGACTTGGTGGTAATGCGGCAGTTCCAATCAACCCGAAATCCTACAAAACCCTTTACACCTGGACTATGCATATGCAAACCCTCAACCCAAAACCCTGAACCTGGGCCCTAAAGCGAAACTCCCAAACCCTGAGCAGACCCTGGCCTTGTCCATCTCATCCAAGCCCAGAACAGTTTCCATCCGTCCAGCTCGTTTGCCCAGAAGAACCAGCTGCTCACCAAGGTGCCTTGGATTTGGAGCTTATGCGTTCTCCTGCAGGTTTAAGACTTTCGGCTTTTAGGGTTTATGAGTTAGGGGTTCTAAGAACCAGGATTAAGGCTTTCAGGAGTTGGGGTTTCGAGTCTGGCACTCGGAAAGCACAGGCAGGGATTCACTGCGCGCCCATCCCAGCCCAAACTTCTAGAATAATGAACGGCAAAGCCCGAGTACTGCGAGTGCATCCAGATCCAAACCCGAATCAACACAACATGAAACACAATAATAAAATCAACAAACCCACAACAAAGATGTTTTTGAGTTAATTAGAACTAGAGTTCAAGGATCTAAGGCCAAGGGGTTGGGGCTTGAGGTTAGTGGCTTGGCCTTGCAACCCGGACAAAGTCTTTTTGGGCGAGGATCTCTTCGATCCAGCAACATCGCTTAGGCAACACTTAGGATCGCGTGTCCGAGGCATGAAGGTAATTTGTTTCTTCAGCTTCGGCCCCCAGTGATGTACCGTTTGAAATTTAGAGTTTCATGAAGGTGTCTCCGGACAGTGTCAGGAAAAATTCCAGGTAGGTGACCCTGGAAACAAAGCTCCAAATAGTAGGATGCTAGGCTGAGTATAAGGATCGCAGAAAAGTGAACGTTGAAGCACCCGTAATACTAAGAAACCGCTACGCGGACAAAAACGTCGTGGCTGAGATGACTACTTAATTATCATAGCCACCGACCGTTACGACTCTGGCTCGCTCTCCGACTTTCGGCAAGTCCCAGAAAGCCTGCACAGCTTTCCAACTCCCGGGTCGGATGCGGTACACTTCCCTACTACTCAGTTACTAAGTCTGAGTCTTTGCGCACACACACACACCAAAAAAAAAAACAACACACACCATCGAACCAACCGCTGGGCTTTGACAAGCAGCTCCGTGTTCTTTTGCGCCTGCAAACAAGACAGGTCATGTCACCACTGCCGTGGGATTTATTCCGGCCGCTGAGTCAAACAGCGGCCTACATGTAGTCTCCTGATGGTGAAGACAGTGAAGCTGGTAATCACGACGGCGCAGGAGGCGATACTGATGAGGTGATGTTGGTGACACGCGTGACTTTCTGCATGCGATGATATAACTCTTGGTCAAGCTATGGGACCCGGCAACGAGAGCTCACCGGAAGTTAAAACAAAGCAACGTTCTGCACAACTCAAAGGGGGAATGTGTGCGAGTGTGTATAAGTACAAGCTTCAGATCAGATCAAAGCACAATGTATATCCATATCTATGTGTGATTATGTGTGTATATATGTATATACACATCAAGAGACATGCACACCTCGCGACCGCGAAGTTCTGTTTACGACTTCGGACGGCGACACGAAGTGTCACCAAACTCTTGACATCCATACTAGGGCTGCGGCATACCGAAGCGCAGCTTACTTCACATGCAGTCATTCTTGGCTGGGGTACTATCCGTTGTACTTACTGGCTCCGGCGATGTTATTTCGCCGCTGCTACTGTTGCTGCTTCTGCTGTCGTAGACGTTGTTGTCATCGTCGCTCCGAGCTTTGGCTGCAATAGTACTGGTGGTGCTGCTGCGGTGTCGTAATGGATATCAGCTCTTATTGCTGGAGGTGCCACTGACATCATTTCGCTCTTGCTCACCAGTTAGTTACAGGTTACAGGCTGCAGTGCCTCCTGTGTCAGTCCACTCCTGCGGCGTCATCGTAATTTTCCGTGCCGGTGTATTAACCTTACAGTTGTCTCTTGCTCTTGCCAGTCCAGTCCTTCGGGCTGCTTCCCACACGCCAGCTCCTACTACAAGTAGATACCCAAACCGTCGGGCAACTTCCAGGAGAGGCCTGGCCTCCAGCTCTTGCTGGGACAGCTCATGGCATTGAGCTGTCAGCGCGGTGAGGGCCTTTACAGTAAGGTCTCTGTTGGTGAGGCCCCTTGAAGGCTTTAAACTTCACCTCTGGGGCTCTTTTCGGGGCTTCTAGCAGTAATCAGTCAGAAAGACCCAGTAATTAAGCAGCTGATTGGCTGATCCTGTCATTGATTTCTCTGTTAAGCATCGGATGTGCGCTGTGCGTACTGCCGCAGATCAGATATCGTGTCTGGTGAATCCTAGCGGAAGAAGACACCATCCATAAGTGAAACACCAAGATGTCTATTCCCGGAAAGCATGGCCTCTCAGCCAATGCTTCTCTGCAGAAAGCGCGAAACGATTGAGGACGTGTGCTGGGATGCTTCTCGAAGCTCTGTAATCCCATGCATCGTAGCACCAGCACAGACTCGACTCATATCTGAAACCGCCCAACAGCCCAAAGGCCACCTTGGAGTTCTGCTGGCTGATCTTCGTCACTTCTAGGATGGAAGACTCCATGTTGACCAGCACATCCTTGGGGCTGCTTATGGGCAGTATACTGAAAGGGAATCAATCATCTGAAGGGTCACGGCCCAAGGTGGTTTAAAGAGAATCACGGAGCTTCTTAGTGCGGCCGTGGAGTGTCAGTGATCCAGAACTCCGAAAGTGCTCCAGCAAGTGACCCTTCGTCGCCACACACACTCTGTCGGTTCCCAACGGACACTCTTGATCGCCTTCTTTCTCAGACTGCCCTGCACTGTGCCAACTCCCATCTCCCTTGCGGTTCCCCAGCATCCAACTCGCGACTCGAAGCACTAAACTCACTGGACCTAAGTCAGAACTTCCCGGTAGACTAGCAGCAGGACTCGAGACAACCTCCAGGAGCTTTGCGATGTTCCTGAGGGCTCAAGCTCCGGCTTCATGACAGCCGCGGTTAAAGAGAAACCTCCTTCTTCAAGGGTCACCCCATCCCCAACAGAACCCTTGTCGGATTTTATTGTAGGGGGTGGGTTCGTTAATCTCAGAAGGAACATAAAACAGAATACATGGGATTCAATGCCAGGCAAGACGGCAGAAGCCAGGACTATCAGTCCAGGGCCTCTTATTTCCCACACCAATCAATACGGCGCAAACCACCGAGATCGGGCATGAAAATTCAGACTGAGTGCTCAGCGTAAGATCGGCCTCAGTCTAGTCTAGGGATGGAGAGATCCAATCACTGACCTCGCCGAGTTTCTGCTTGTTCTCCGCCGCCAAGACCCGGTAGTCTGTGATCGCTATGTCAGCTTTGTTCAGCCTCCACAATCTCGCTCCCGATGCGACTTCTAAGACTCTAAGATCTGTGACTCGTTTCTCTCTGCCGAATTGTGTTTTTTTTGTGTTTGTGTTCTTTGGTTTTCGCCCTGCTCTGCTGCACTTTCACATCACTCAGCCCGGCCTCCTACATTTCTGATTGGAGCCCTTCTAAGATCCTTGTAAGGGCTATATAGAACCCTTTATAGTAGGGACCCACAATAATTATGCTGACACTGGCCTACTTACGGGTCCATCAAAAGTCGAGGATTAAGCCTCCGCCAGTTCTTGAAGTCTTCAGGAGCGCATATTGAGGACAGTTTCACAACAGCTGAGCAGATCAGTGGACAAACTGCCCCAAAGTCTCGATGAAGAACTGAAGAACCATGAAGCGGAACCATGAAGCACCACGGCCTGTCTTTCATATCATCCTGGCTTTTTTCCATGGCCTCCGCATCAACATGTGAACTGAATGCCCGGGACTGTTCCCGTAGATCAGGCCAGGCTGCAAGATGCAAGGAGAATGCTTACACTGTACACTGGATACAACTTCAACGATAATTGTGGAGTGCAGGCAGCTGGACTATCCCCCTATGTCATATGTAGACAGCCCTCCTGCAATCCCTCCCCTTGCCTCGGCTCGTCCTTTGAGGCTTGATGCCGCAGAGGATGTTGCTAAGTGCTTCTCCTCCAGTAGAGAAAGCTTGAGGGAGCGAGCGGCAGCAGAACCCGAAGCGTCCAAACCATCAAAAAACATCATGGAACCTAGGACCTGTGCGGTGCAACAGAAACCAGACATATCCCGCGAAGGAGAACGCAACAGAGCTGGTGCAGGACAGCCACACTCCGAGACGATGTGTACCACGGAGGCTACGCCACAACGGTCTGTGCGAGATAAATACGAAACCGCCTCCTCGCATGACATATTTGGACATACCGACTCCGCGGGAGGCTGTCAGATACATATGGGTAGTTGTCAAAATTAGGGTCCCTTCTTGGGTGCCCTAAATATGAGGTGCCGTACTATAATAGGGACCCAGAAAGGTACCATAATTTTGACAACCACCCATATCGACAAGGTATCCAATGAACCCTCTCAATTGTTCGGGCCTCCGGGAGCCCACCAACAAATCTTTGGCGCTGTTCCTGTTCCTACGTCCCAGAACAAAGCGATCGAATATGCCCGCAAGTGAAACGCATCCCCTTCGACTGGTCTACCAGAGTCAAACGCATCCCTGAACCGCACACCCCCAAAGCTTTACGAAACTTATACCTCTACAGATCGCGTTTTCGTGATCGTAAAATGTACACCAAACGAAACCCTATTCAAACCATTAGGGTTGCTGTAGTACCTCTCCGCCCCTCTCCGAGAATCAGCCGTCACTGCACTCCCGTCTTACCCAATTTTGAGAGAAATATGCAGGGGCCTTCATGATAAGACTAAGGGTTTGGTGACTCGTGTATTACACAGCTATACAGGGCCCACAAGAAATACCGTTAGTAGCTACCCAGACCTTTATATGGTACTATGATGGAGCCGAGATGCTGCATGCTCTTGTAGCTTCTTCTCAGACTCCTCAGCCCATGAGCTACGGCGCCAATACGGAAGACAAACACATTTTCTCACACACCTGCAAAATCATCACCTTAGTCGAGGAACGTTTCCTTTTACAGTTCGGTAACGTTGTCGTTCCGAAGATGGTTTCCCGAGGGCTGGCGCTGTTCTTCGCTCTGGCATATGCAACTGGGTCTGCTTTTCCCCACAAGTCTGAGCATGAATCCGGCTCCTACAGCACTTAGGCTTCCGGGGCGTCTTTCCATCTGTATGACAAAGACCCGGGAAGGGAGCCCCTGCCCTTTCCAAAAAGAAATCCCGTGACTTGATATCGGAACCAGGAGAGCCAAGATGCATGGGCTTTCTCTTCGATGCCACGTATCCTACAGAGATCTGGGTTTGGGAAGGATCGAGCAAATGGATGTGGGTCAGTTGGTTGAGGTGAGGCTTTGTTGAAACTTCAACGGTGCCAGGTAGATATACTTCTTTTGGGATGGCCCGCATCTTCCAGTTTTGTGGCTGGCCTCCAGGAGTCAATCTATGGTTCTCCGTATTCTACATGTTCAGATCGTGTACTCCAAGGCGGGGTATCTGCGGCGCAGATTCTGTTGCTCAATAGCCAACTGTTTTCTGCACTTGATACCTCACTGTGTATCTGGAACGAAGCATTCAAGACCATTAAAGCCAAACCGTGCTTTTAAGCGTCCTGTTGGCCTGGTATGGACAAAAAAGAGCTGTTTGTAGTAACTAATACGATTCCCATGCGATGCGGGAGCGCCTGCCCTCCAGTTGGCTGCTGAAGGCTTCGGTGGTCTTCTTCTCGTCCTTCACGTCCCGGATCGAAGCCTGCAGCTCCTTCCGCCGAGAAGAGCATGAAAGGGCAGTGGTAGTGGTGGTGGTGGTGCTTGTTGTAGTAGTAGTAGTAGTAGTAGTAGTAGTAGTAGTAGTAGTAGTAGTAGCAGGAGTAGTAGTAGTAGTAGTAGTAGTAGAACCTAGCAGAAGCCCAGATTCGCAAACAGATTTGCCCCTCACAGGAGTCTGATGGCATGCAGTGTGACATTCTCTGCCGGCCCTGGTCCTATTTGCATGTTTAGCCTGACATTACCCGGGTTCAACAAGGGGCGATAGAGATATGGTTCCAGAGAGATAATCAAAGGCCATTGCTGCGAGAATGACAAATCCACAAGGCTTGCACTGTCCAGCAACAGTTTGGGCATGTAGTATTTATGTATACATTCTTGTGTTGTACATGCACGTATGTACACATGTACAGGTATGCATGTAAAGTAGGTATTTATGTATGCATTTGTGCATGCAGTACACCAGGTGTGTTATTTTGTGTGTGCGTATGTATGCACGCATGTATGCATCTACGTGTGTGAATGTATGTGTATATGTTGGCATATACATATCTACGGGAAGAAGTATTATGACAAGGATGCGGGCAATGATGATGGTAATTATGGGTACGGCCGCCACCTGTAACAGTCGGGCTATACATAGTGATAACTGCTACAGTGTGGAGACAGTACCGAAGTCATGCTGCAGCATCAAAAACAAGCTACCGCTACCACAACCACTACCAAAATTTCCACAACCACAGCCACAATAACAAAAAACAATCACAACAACCACACCACCACCACACCATCACCACCACAGGAAGAATAATACGAACAACCACCACCACTTCCACCACCTCTACCACAACAACAACAACCACAACCGTGACCGCGACCACAACCACGAACACAACAACAGCAACGACTACTACTACTGCTACTACTACTACTACTACTACGACTACTGCCGCTGCTACTCCCCCTTTCTACTGCTGCTACGACGACGAGAAAAAAGCGACTACAAATGATACTGAAAATTATCGTGCAACTGGACATGGTAATGAATCATGGTGATTGACGGCAAAGAAAAGCTATTCATGATAATGATATATTGGTATAGGTCCAGCCGGAACTATCGATGCACCATTTCCGGCGATGCGAAATCTCCGAACTTGACGCGGGAGTCTCCTGCAGCCGGCCCTCGAAGCTTTGCTTGGTGCCTGGGCGGCTGCATGGCGTGTTTGGAGTTTAAGCCTTCACATAAGCGTTCAGAGTGCCATGCGCTTCAGGTGTTCACTGTCAATAGACCAGCTCTGAGCATTGGCAAACCCACCACCTCAAAATTGAATGGCCGAAACACCGCATCAGGAATCTAAGCAGCTCGACCAAATCATAAGCTGACGTGAAGCCCACAACAAGTACACGAGACTGATACTATGGCCGCAGCAACACAAGCATCTACAACAGAACAATAACAAAGCAACAAGAGCACCTAGTCGGAACAACACAAGCAACAACAATCGACACCATGACCACAACTCCAATGCCACTGCAACAGCAACAGTCGGAAACGCACTGGAATCCACCTAACCACACGAAACGAATTGGCACTAAGTCCTAGTGACCTGTTGGGAGGTCCCAAAGATGACATACCACAGGGGTTGTGTGCAATGATAGGCGAGTTTATGACTTGCGCAACGATTAACTGTATTCGGGGACAGCGGGAGCAATGCCAAGCACGGAGTCAAGCGAGGCTGTGCTGGATCCTCCAGATTCAACTTATGCAATCAACTGCCCATAGGTATCCGTGCATGCCCGGCACCATTGATGGACTGCACGACGGCTTCGTGTGTCTTGTCCCACGCGTCAATGTCACCTTTCACGTGCTCCAGTGCCGCACCTCGGATGGAGCTGGCACATCAAAAGCCACCAGCGGCATGCAAAGACAAAGGGCTCTTCGAGATGCTTTCTGTGCTTCAAGTGGTACTGTGGGACGGTGCACTTTGGGCAACATGCAACTTTTTGTTGGCAAGTCGCGCAACTGGGCAATGTCGCGGTCCGTCTCAAACTTCGACTCCTCACACCTCCGATGCAGGCAATGTATCCGAGTGCTTCATTCGTCCGGGGCCAATTTCGGAAGCTTCGCAGGTCTCGAAAATTCGCTATGCATTGCGCATCGCTGCAATGGTGTATTGTTTCCTTCACGTCCTACTCGTTGAGATTTTGGTAGAGGGAATTAGGCACAGCGCACTGGCAGGGAGCATCCACCACCTGGCGTCAGGCGGTTCCGTGGCTCCTGCTGTGGCGCGGTGCACTTTGCACTTTGCAAGCTTCCCGTGCCGACATCGCTTTGCATTTTGAAGTGGCTATGGATGGAAATCATGCCCCACTCAGGGTGCATGTAGGATTGAAGGACTCTTTGACAGCTCTTTGGCAACGCTCCAGGGCTGGATAAGCTCGCAACACATCCGGACCCAACTCGACAGGGGTTGACTGGTTTGTGGTACTCCTTACGGTCTGCGACCCGCTCTGGGTCACCCAAGCCGAGCAGGCCCCTGAGGTGGTCTCGAAACAAGGGAGTGTTTTGAAGCCTTCCAAAACTTGACATGCGTGCGTGCTCCAACGTGCTGCGCGTGCGTGTTTTGGTGTGCGACTCCTCTTCCCTACGAAGTCCCGTCCTGAAGTGCTGCTCCCTTCGCAGTACCGCGCATCTTGACGTGTAACTGGTTCTTGGGTATGTAGGGCTTTGCTGCTAGGTGCTGTTTCACGGATTGAGCCCAATAGTTTCGGATGATGTTGTTCTGCAAGAACGCCTGGTCATGTCCTATCTGCCCTTCTGCTGGCTGCTGTGCGATCATGAATTCGCTGTAAGGTTTGCGATGTAAGGTTTAACTGGCTGTCAGTGGTTCTGGAAGTCGCGGGACCACGATGCTTCGATGGCAAGGCCGCTCTTGCAATGCTGCGAAGTCTGCGTAGCAAACCCCTGGCCCAAGTTGAAAGAAATGCAATATAATGTAATAGAGTATGATATAATATGTTGTAATATAATAATATATAATGTAATATGATTTAATATAACATAATATAATACAATATGATATAATGTAATATAATAAGAGTGGAATTCTGATCCACGGGCCTTGCCAGTTTGCACCTGGTCTCCTTGAGGCGGGGCTGTAGCTCCTCAGGGCGGTGCCAGGAGCTTCGAGCCGATTCAAGGAATCCAAGGGGTCTTTAATAGAGCCCCAGAAAAGCACATAAGCAAAAATTAGGATAGGGATATCCCATATAAGCCCCCTCAAAAGGAAGCCCAACAAGGTAGGGATATCCCGGTAAAATGATTATGCTTGTGTGCTTTTTGGGTTCCTAATTTAAGTCTTGCTCGATGTTCGACGCTTCCTTCAGGCAGGTCGACCGGGTCTCGGTTGATTTTCTCGTTAAATTACACGGCGTCAGCCTTCCGGAGTTTAGGATTTTTGAGGTCTCGGACTCGGAACAGGTTTTCGTCATCCGCCATCTAGACAAGGAGATCGGAGGCCGAAGTCATCACCCTTACCGCACCCATCACACCGCTCACGGTTGGTCCTGCACTGCCTCCGTGACCACAGCTGTCCTCTCGTCGAGCCTCGACGTATGTGCCAGTAACGCGACAAGAGCAAACAAGAGCCCAAAGCTTCCTTTACCCTGATTGTCAATCCTTGAAGCCATGTCATCCTGTAGGGTCATGGGGCAGGAATTCGGAAATTGCTGCTTCGAAGGAGCCCAAGCATGGAGATGCTACATGAGAGGTTGAACTCAAGACCCGAAATGAGGATTGCCCTGATTTTTGGTCATCTTCCTTACAGAAAGATCTCCGTATCCTGGGTGGCTGGGAATCTATCTCACCGCTAGCCCCGAAGACGAGGTGACTGGAGCCAAGGCACTCGCCAACCTTGGGTTTCAGGCTGTGCAGCTCGGACTCGAGGGCGTTCTTTTCAGCCTTCAGAAAGACGTTTCTTACTACATCTGCACCTGCCAACAGACAGAATATAGATGAATATAGTCCCTCCCTGTTGGCTCATCTCCCTCTCCCTCCCTCCCTCCCTCGCTCTCTCTCTCTCGCTCTCTCTCTCTGTCTCTCTCTCTCTCTCTCTCTTTCGCTCTCTCGCTCTCGCTCTCTCTCTCGCTCTCTCTCTCTCTCTCTCTCTCTCTATCCCTCTCTCTCTCTCTCTCTCTCCCTCGCTCTCTCTGTCTCTGTCTCTGTCTCTGTCTCTGTCTCTGTCTCTGTCTCTGTCTCTCTCTCTCTCTCTCTCTCCCTCGCTCTCCGCCGATCTATCGATCAGAAACATCAGATAGAACCACACCGAATTGCATCCATCCATCCATCCATCCATCCATCCATCCGTCCGTCCATCCATCCATCCGTCCGTCCATCCATCTACATCTATCTAGCTACCTATCCTGCTACCGGGCTAGCAAACTATACGTCGATACACATCCTTATATGTACGGGTATGTGCATACAACCACATGTCAGTCTTTCTGTATGTATGCTTGTATGCGTGCATGTGTGTGTGTGTGCGCCCTACTTGGTATGCTGTATGCACGTGGGCATGCATATATGTTCCTGTCTGTCGGCATGTGTGTACATCTGTACATGTAGTATGTGTTCCTGTGTGTATAGGTTTGCACAAAGGCACGCATGCACGGATGGAGCTAATGTAATGATGTAGTGGGGCATAGCGAAGTGGAGTGTATGCCTGGTAGAGAAACGGATTGTATGATGTAAAAGTATCTAATAAGGATAATGTAAGGGTACTGTTTCATAGCAAAGTTTGGCAACATGGGGTTGATGCAATTTACAGATGTAGAGTAGAGTAATATACCTGACGGATGATGTCACGTAGTGCTGCTGCAAAGCTTGTAGGTGTGTATGTCTGCATGCGTGTATGAAAGGAATGTGTGTGCCTGCAGTTCTTGATGTGTCCTCGTCGTCATGAAACGGCGCATGTGTGTGTGTGTGTGCGCGCGCGCGCGCGTGCAGAAGGTCGGGGTTCTTGTGTGTGTGTGTGTGTGTGTGTGTGTGTGTGTGTGTCTGTCTGTCTGTCTCTGTCTGTCTGTCTGTCTCTGTCTGTCTGTGTCTGTCTGTCTCTGTCTGTGTCTGTCTCTGTCTCTGTCTGTCTCTGTCTCTGTCTCTGTCTCTGTCTCTGTCTGTCTCTGTCTGTCTCTGTCTGTCTCTGTCTGTCTCTGTCTGTCTCTGTCTGTCTCTGTCTGTCTCTGTCTGTCTCTGTCTGTCTGTCTGTCTGTCTGTCTGTCTCTGTCTGTCTCTCTGTCTCTCTGTCTCTCTGTCTCTCTGTCTGTCTGTCTGTCTATCTGTCTGTGTGCGTGGAGTTGTGTGCTAGGCCGCACGCAACAATCCACAACAACAGCGCAGGGAACAAAGGTTAGGAGCTGCCAAACACCGATCGATACATGTGGTGCGCAGGGAGGTAGCCGCGGGTTTGGCTGTGTGTAGATCCGAGCTACAGTTGGCTTCGTTTTGTCATTGATTGTTGTGGTACACACACACACACACACACACATTCTCGGTGATGTCTTGATGCGCGTGCAAGCATGCATGTTTTGTTTGCTGGAAAACTCCCGGTGCATGTAAAAACCATGAAACCTATATATGTAGAAACGGCGACATTGGACGACATCCACCATACGCAGCATATGTATGCCCAAGCGCCCCTGTATACATACCCTTGTATATATACGTCACCCATACACAGTAGCTGTATGCCCCTATGCGCGTGTAAATCTTGTCTATGCAACAGAGTGTTATATACGTAAACCGATACAGATGAAGGCATAGTTACTGAACTCATAGCGGTTGCCGTCTGATGTGTTTGCCTGATGGTGTAAGTACATGTGAGGGACTGACCGTGTGCTTGTTTAATGTGCTTCTTACTTTAACAATTGTCTATGCAAGCATATATACATACATCTATAGACATACATAACTACATGCATACATGTGTCTACAACATACATACGTACATACCATACCATACACATATAATCTACACATGGCATGCACAGCTACACAATTGTTGCGCTGACTATACACGCATACATACACATGGCCTCAAAACATGATATATGTGCGCCGGCTTGTCGATTAATTGGTCGGAGTACGTCCGATCCTACTCAGACCGGCCAATGGTTTCAATCGTTCACCGGTTTCGGGTTTAGGGCTTTAGGGTTGGCTTTTCGCGAGCTCTGTTTCTGGCTGGGGTCTGGTGGCCTAGGGGTTTCGTTAGGGTATATAAGGTCTAAGGACTTATCATGTGGACTCTTGTGCTATACAGCAAGAGGGGTCCGAGGCACCGTCGTAGCCTCGAGCAGCGTCTGTGCTTGTGCGACCTGACCCAGGGCGGCTTTCGGATTTCGGGGTTTAGAGGTTTCGGCGCTCACACTCGGACAATCAAGGCGAGGCATATGGTTCGAGGTCTGACAAGTGAGACAGCACTAAAGGAAAGGTTTAGTTTACGCACTCGCAACTCGGACACAGCCAGACGAGGTTCTTGGTGCGCATGGTCAGACTTGGGGTAGCTCAACTTGACTCTGAAAGACAGCTCGCAACAAAAGTTAAAGCCACGGAGGACTTCAAGTCGAGCACTCCCCAGGGTTTACAAGGTTTCGGGTCAGCGCATTGAGACGTAGAACGGCTGCTAGTATGTACGTTGGACTAGGGAGAATCCAGCTGCTAGATAGTGCATCTATCAACATGAGACGGAACAACAAGGCCGAACTGGGACCGACCTCATGCACACGACTGTAAGGGGTGAGCAAGGGTGAGCGCTGGGAACAACTGTATGCCCTGTCGCCCGGGACGACGCCTACAAGTTCGGACTACTGATGACTACTGCTCCGGCGACCCGAAGCAACCTGAGGCACGTAGGCTTGGCCCACGGGCAGGAACGCGCAGACAAAGCTAAGCTACGGACAGCAACAGCTAGTCACGAGTCACGGACTGTGGAGGCTTGACCAGGGCTCGCATCTTGCTCGCGGCGTACCTAGAAGCTCCATTGCACAAAAGCCAACCCAATCTGAGCCTGGTCGGAGGTCCGATTCAAATCCTGTCGGAGCTCAGCAACCAAAGCTGCCTCGTCAGGTGAATTGGATTTGGGATTTCCAGCCCGAGCCGTGCCTTGAGACGACAGGGTGGCTGATAGGAAACTGGAGCCCTGTGGCTTGTAGCATGTTAACACATTGCACCCCAAAGCCACATTTCCTTGTTAGGGCCCGTTCATTCAGCCTCCAGAGCGAGCAAGGTGTAGGCGAGTCCAAGGAATGCTAGCTGGAAGGGCTTCCACAGGTTTTATCAGGATTCCTCACTCTTCTATCGATGGCAACAGAACATATATATATATATATATATATATATATATGGACACACACATACACACACATATATATATATATATATATATATATGGACAGATAGATAGATAGATAGATAGGATTGTCGGTTTCTTTGGGTGAGTGATAATATGCATGCATATCTATCTTTTCTGCGCTGGCCATGTTTATAGACTCAAACGCCACTATCCAACATCACTGTCCATCTCACGGCTTCATCCACACATGATGTCGTCCCATAGCCATACCTCCATGCCCAGGCCAAACACGGTCAGTGCGGCACTGACGAAAGGATTGCCACCCAGCTACTTGTCTGCAACAGCGCCGGTTCAGCTTGTCTGAAACACGTGAAGTTACCTTTGAGCGATAGCTACAGTACCCACCTACCAAGACCATAGTAAAACCAACACGGCAAGAATTGCAAAGACACCTCGAGTTGAAGTTTTATACAATTATCAAATGTCAAAGCCTCGGCCCGGAAATCCGTAAACCCATCGACCCGTCCATGCGTCGAATTTTGACAACCCCTTGGACTCAGTGAGGTCGTCGGCGAGGCCTGCTGTGCCAGCTGAGCTGTGTGGCCTTCCACATCCTGAGACGGTCTCAAGCTTAGGGATTTTCGAGGTTGATTTGGGGCTTGTCTACTCTCGGGATTTTTGCACCTATAGTCTCGCTGAGCTCCACCGGGACACAGGACCCATGGTCCCCGACCAAAGCAACAGGGGAGGTCCAATTTTCAGTGGCATTCTAACGCAGCTCTAGCAACAGTTGCCCCATTGCTTCTGCCAACCATGAGCCCCCACATGCCAAGTACCTGTTCTACTTGCTCTGCGCTCTAGCCTCCCCATGTGTCGTCTACAAATCGACCGCAGGAAGTATGCATAAAGCCCCATGCCTAAGTCGCCTGCTCTCTTCAGCACTGGCAGTGGCAGCAAAGCCCGCTTGAACTAGGCAACCGCAGCTCAACGCTGCCAAAAGGGCCCGCTCGTTTGGTTCTTTAAGGCCCCACATTTGGAAGCACACGTGGGGAAAAGTAGCCTCAAATGATAACGAACCAGCCGCATCATGCAACAACTCCTGCCACACCGAAGCTCCGACGAACAAAACCACATCCACGGTCAAGCCTTCAATGGTCTAGGAATCTATAGGCTTTAATCCCCCCAAGCCCCCTCGGAAGAGTCGCCAGGCCTGAGAGACGGCACCTTAATTGGACTGTTTCATTTTTTCCTCACATCCGGGAAGGTACCCTAACCCGACAGCTCAGAGCGCGGAAGGAGTGTGGACAGTTCTACGAACTTGTGAGGGGAAGCTTATGTGGCTGACGTTGCCCTTCTCTGGCAAACTCTGAGCTCGTGTTCTGCGCATAAGGCATAAGGTTCGATCAAACGAGCAGGGTTCGGACATCAATCTGCTGCTGTGGTGCTCATTGTCTCGGACAAGTTCCAGACATACCTCGGCAGTGCGGCACGCCAAGCTCAAAAAGCTGTCTGAGCCATGCTCCTCCATTTCATAGGAAGCGACCCATGTGCAACGCTGTCTGGTAACCCGAACCATTCAGGCTTGCACAAGCAACTCGACGTCGCAACTCACAGTGATCGGGGACCAGCAGCAGTTCGCAGGAACCATGGGTCAACTGTGGTCAACTCCTTTCAATGGGACTTGGGGCCAAACGCCAAAACACTAAACCCGCCAACAGTGTGGCCTGCCTACCATCCCATGCAGAACCCCCTTCCAGGGAGGTGCCGGTGCAGCTCATCCACAGTCTGCCCAAAGGGTTGAAGGATGCCTGGGGCATCGTTTGTGCAGTGTCTCGCTGTGGAGGATAGAAGTTAAGCACGCTCGAAACTCTGAGCTTGGCGTCTCCGACTGATTTGCACTAGCACCTTGCTGGGTTCTGCTATTCTTGCCGCATCTGGCTGGACTGGAAAGCAAAGCCGAAAAAATAGATGCATTCCAGGCTTTGTGCAGGGGGAGAATGTGCAATCGGAGAATTCATGTCGCGGCGATGCACTACGTTGATATGACAAGGAAAGCCCTCAACTGTAGCGGAAAGGGGTGGGACATGGAAGCGGAGAGATGGGGAGACAGAGGCAGAGCAAAGGCAGAGAGGAAAAGAAACTAACAAATCCTCTAACAAATCGAGAAGACTGATCGAGAGCCGATAAAGGCTTCATCAGCACAAGCAACCGCGGTACTGTAGCCCAAGGTACCAGGTACATATCAATGTCACGCAGGACTCCAACAACACAAGAACGCGGGTCGTGCGTGGCCGCTGGGGCAAGGATATGCTGCAAACCCAGGCACTAGTCATGTAGTTGCGGATGAAGCTGACCATGGAATCCTGCCAGCAGCGCATGTTAAACTGAACTGGGTACGACTTGCCCACCCGCGCGCAACTGGTGCTTCACGCCACATTGTTTCAAATGATAGATCTGCTTGGGCAACTAAGCCGGTGTGCCAAACTATCACAGAATGTGGTGTTCTTAGCATAGCAACTGCTTGACCAACTAGCGGTGCTCGATCTGCTATCTTGCAAGTTAAAGGAGCAAGCCCAAAACCCTGAAACATTCTGATGTGGAGGCTGCTCCGAACTATGGACTCCACCAAGCATTCCCATGACGATATGATGGCGTACTTCCGGTCATGTAGGGTATCCAAAAGGTCCCGTGAAACAAAAGAAAGCCCAACGTGAGCCCCATGGGAATGGGTTCCATCACAAACGTGCTCCACCCGACATTCAGGCCATTGACATTTTCACTTCAGCATCATTCACAGCATTAACGCCTTTTGCTTGAGTAAGAATAATACCATGGGCTCCCCTCGCACTACACCGGATGAGAAACTCGAACCGCACAGTGAATCCCATGGCAAGCACCTGGCAATGCGGCAATGTGGGTGAAAGCTCAGGGGAGCAACAGGAAGGGCCCGTGTTGCGCAAGTCAGGGTCCTCTCCCATCCCAGTCTCTGCCTCAGACGTGACACAAACAGGACTCAGCATGTTCACTTGCTTACGGGACCGTTGATTTCGCGTTCATTCAGGGGCTGTAGTCATTGGAGGCTTTGTGAGTGAGGGATCTCCTCTTAATACATCTCAAACTCGCTTCAAGCTCGGTGCAGTCTAGCTTCACTGTTGCCGTGCTAGGCTTGTCTCAGTAGTAGTAGCAGTAGTAGTAGTCGCAGTAGCAGTAGCAGTAGCAGTAGCAGTAGCAGTAGCAGTAGCACTAGTAGTAGTAGTAGTAGTAGTAGCAGTAGCAGTAGCAGTAGCAGTAGCAGTAGTAGTAGTAGCAGTAGCAGTAGCAGTAGAGTAGTAGTAGTAGTAGTAGTAGTAGTAGTAGTAGTAGTAGTAGTAGTAGTAGTAGTAGTAGTAGTAGTAGTAGTAGTAGTAGTAGTAGTAGTAGTAGTAGTAGTAGGTAGTAGTAGTAGGTAGTAGTAGTAGTAGTAGTCGTAGTAGTAGTAGTAGTCGTCGTCGTCGTAGTAGTAGTAGTCGTAGTAGTCGTAGTCGTAGTAGTAGTAGTAGTAGCAGTAGTAGCAGTGGTAGCAGTTGTAGTGGTAGTAGTAGTAGTAGTAGTAGTAGTAGTAGTAGTAGTAGTAGTGATAGTAGTAGTAGTAGTAGTAGTAGTAGTAGCAGTAGCAGTAGCAGTAGCAGTAGCAGTAGCAGTAGTAGTAGTAGCAGTAGTAGTAGTAGTAGTGATAGTAGTAGTTTTTGTCACCCACCTGGCACACCTGTGGCAGCTCTGCGGGGGCTGACTAAAGTAAGACAAGTCACATCAGGGCTAGCAAAGAAAAGCACAGCGCAATAAAAGGTAAGGCCACAAAGTACATGCCAGCCCCAGTAGTAGTAGTAGTAGTAGTAGTAGTAGTAGTAGTAGTAGTAGTAGTAGTAGTAGTAGTAGTAGTAGTAGTAGTAGTAGTAGTAAAGTAGTAATAAAGTAGTAGTAAAGTAATAGTAAAGTAGTAGTAAAGTAGTAGTAGTAGTAGTAGTAGTAGTAGTAGTAGTAGTAGTAGTAGTAGTAGTAGTAGTAGTAGTAGTAGTAGTAGTAGTAGTAATAGTAGTAGTAGCAGTAGTAGTAGTAGCAGCAGCAGTGGTAGCAGTGGTAGTGGTACAACTAGTAGTGGTAGTAGCGGTAGTAGCGCTAGTAGTGGAAATTCGTACTAGTAGCAGTCGTGGTGGTGGTGGTGGTGGTGGTGGTGATCGTTTGATACTGTTGGTGCTGGTGTTGTCGTTGTTAGTGGTGGTCGTCGCCACTTCTCCCTGTAGCTGTACGAGGCAGCAGTAAGTAGAACCAGAGCGAGCAACCGGATGCAGATCTGCCCTTGACTCGCAGCTCTGTTTTCGAGCAAAAACCACACTCTAGACCCCTCTACACCCTAAACCCCAGATCGCATTTTTGCTTGCCGGCTCGTGCATCATCAAGTCTCAACCCCAAACTTCTGAAGCCTAAGCCCGAGAACTCCCGAGTCTAGATCTTCTGATTCATCTGCGTTGCGCACAAGGACATCGCAGTATCTGGCCTAGGCCCGGCTCGTTGAGCTTTCCATCAGTCTTTGGATTTCGAAGGCTCTCGGATTTTTCCTCTGACTCCCCGCAGGGCTTTGAATTCAGCAAAGGGGTCTGGGGTCAAAGTCTCGTTCATGGTCGCAAAACAATGTGCAGGGATGCGGTTTGAGATGGGCATCGCATGTGGCCTACGGTTTCCTTGGGCTTCGGGACATATTCAGAGCCGGATGCAAAATTTTCGGAAGGCAGTGCACATCGCGGTAGCCATGCGGTTGTGAATTCCCGGTCGGCGGCGGTCGATCCCGCTATCATATCTTAGTGTCGGTTTCTTCGGAAAAAAGCTGAAACCCATCGATCTTACAACAGCCCGTGACCGGGGCAATCCTGAAGACATAAGTCTGAAACCCTCATTCGGGTTCATCAGTCCAGGAACCGGCTCAGAATTCGTTCGGCGCTGTCTCTGTGCGACCTTAGCAGATTGGCCGATGGTTCTTGTTATTTCGGCTGGGCTTAGAGCAGGCAACTTTTGGAACAACCCCGCATGGACTTGGACACACGGCTGCTTGGTCAAGACACAAGATCAACCCGGGTTTGGCATCATAGATCTCTCAAACCGGTGGAAACGAACCCGCAATGAAACCGAGACGGTTCATGCAGCGAATTAGTTCGACACACACACACATAACAAACACACACACACACACACACAAACAGACACAGACACACACGTGCAAAGACACACACGAACACACGCAGAGTTTCAAGCACAAAGTAACATGAGACTTAAAATGCAGATTCCTACGGACTCCTCAGCCTAGCAAAGCACTGCCCCCTTTGAAGGGGATCCCGAAAAGCAACTGCGATCAATGTAACTCACGGATCAGTTCATCCAATACTGCCTGTCAAGGCAGAATCGGCGCTTACTCAGCCAGAGATGGAAGCTTGCAGCGTGAGTTCTCCCGCCTTGAAAGCACCCACAGTTTCTCTGAGATCTGACTTGTACAGGCCGCCACCGCATGCAAAACTCAAGCCCCAGACCCTAAACACCTCCACCTCGTAAACCCCTACAGGCCGTGAATCCTATGAACTCCCAGGGCCCCCTTTTCAAATCCCGAGGCCCAGGAGCATTCCAGTTCCGGGGCGTTCCAGAGGGCTGTTTTGCCGCTGGAGCTCGGGAAGGGCACCTTCAGGGTTCACTCGACGACGAGATTACTTATGGGTTTGGTGTACGAGGGGTTCAGGATAGGGCCAGCTTGCGTGGATGGGCGAGGAGTCTTTCTGCACATCGGCGGTGACAAGCCTTGCGCCGAGACAAGCACTAGCTAAAAAATTGACTTTGCCCTGTCCGTATGCCGAAATCTAAACGGCGATGGGGCGCGATCTGTGCAACCGACAACCGTGCATGGGTGACTGCGACGCTTGAACATGCAAACCTTTGCACGTGATTCCACGATGTGAACCAGGCGGTGTTTGTGCAGATCCCGACGTGGAGATTCCGCGAGTGCTTCCACATATCTTACGCCGCCCGAAATCAGTCGGTCGCAGCTTCAAGGCGTGTAGCCAAGAGTTAATCACTCGTGGCAGGCTGCACCTTGCAGGGTTGTCATTGCAGAAACCAGCCTGACACATCTGACAAGTTGACGAAAAGTGCAGCACTCGCTGCATACCCTGATATCCCAACGTCGTCTCAACTATGTCGCCGAGCTTTGAAAGCTAGTGCGACTTACGATGACGTGAGCACAAGAAACCAAGGAGCGCCGGTATCGTCAGTGCTTCTGTACCTTTCGTCCTCGCTCTATTATCAGGTAACCCAGCTATCATTCTTGCTGCTTCTCCTCATGCTCCGCAGTGTCCTAAAGACACCGGACCATCGCCCCGAGCTGCCTGCAATGTCCTGGCTGGATGCATCAAGTCCTCGGTGAGAAGGTTTGGGCCAAGTCGCTGACCGAAACCCCACGATTTCTGCAAGCGCGGTCACTGGGAGACAGTCGCATATGCGTATATGTATATATATATATATATATATATATATACATACAAGCAAAAATCACCCGGTACATACACGAAATATAGAAAACAGCAACACAAGTTTTGCATAACACAGACTTATACTTCACCCACGGATGGAAATATACTGAAACCATGTAATACGCTTGACATGACAAGGAACGTAAAACAAGCATATGCACATGCACATATGCATACATATATATATATATATATATATATATGTATGTATATGTATGTATATACACATATATATATATATATATATATATATATATATATATATACATATATATATATATATATATATAGATACATACACATGCGCACATACACATACCTTCGACTCTTACAGCTGTGCGAGGAGAGGGTCTAGGGTTTCAGCCCGGCAAGCCTCGGGAACAGTCGAAAAAGAACGTGACAAATCGGTGTCCGCATGCAACCACGCCATCCTTCCATAAGTAACCACGATAAATGCAATGCGGCTTCGTGTTCAAGTTCGACTTCAGACTTGGTTTGCGGTTTCGTTGGGCCTGCGTCTTGGCTTGGCCTGGAAAGGGAGACAACTCACATTGCAATCTATATAGGGGCCTTAAAAATTACCTTTACTATTTTGGCGGTTCCCTATTGTAATTATAGTTTAATGGGCCCCAAAACCCTCTTCTGATTATTAAGGCCCCTATATTTAAAACTGCATGAACTGGGAGAGCCTTTAACCTACAACGGCCAGGTAGCTCGGAGCGTCTGGGTAGTCGGCATCATCCATGGCGAGTCCTCTGCCGCAGTAGTTTGGAATGATGGCTTTATCTACAGCCGGTCAAGGTACTTCATTTTAATTTTGGCCCCGCAGTGCAAGCCCAGGCATTCATGCCAGGCCGAAAGGTCGATATGTCAGCATACGAGTACAGAGAACTCAGTGGTGAGAGGCACCACGCTCTGTGTGGCACTGCAGCTTCGGGTCAATTGCAGGATAACAACATGTACATTAGCTGCTTGGGGTATGTCCACGTAAAGCTCAAATGACCAAACCGCACGACTTCGACTCTGAATGTTGCTGCACGATGCCGCAGGTTCAAAAACTCGAAGCAGCTTCCAGCTGCCTTTCATGCACGATACAGCCTTCCAGTTCCGAAGATGCTCCTCTGCTCCTCAACCGACTAGGATCCCCTGCTGTGAACTTTTCATGGGCAGTGAAACCCTTCAACGTGTAAGGAAACTTGTGGAGCTGGAAGCTTCAAGGGACTGTCACAATACTACACATCGCGGGCACAGGCTTCACCGGGACTGCTGGAGCCCACTGGTGGCATGCACTTGCGAGATGTGGGAAGAAGCGCTCACAAACCCCTCACTACGAGTCAGCATCCTTTTTTTGCAACAGTAGCATGCTTGGTTTCGAGACTTACTGAGCCCTTACTATGAACCCTAAAACCCACAGAACACCCTACTTCGACTGTGAAGGTTGCTGCGCGTCCCTTAAGCCGTAACGGTGAAACAGCTTTCGCCGCCGGTCCAGCTTTGGCGCACGATACAACGTTCCATTACCTGAGATGCTCACTCAACCGCCCAAATGGGCAACGACACCTCAAGCTTGCATGTTCACATCTTCGGCGCTTGCAAAGGGCTCTGATAGCTATAGCCAGCGTTCGGAACTCAAAATCTACGTTTGACTTCCCAATTACCCATGAACCTTCAAGCAGAAATGAGGTAGCTTCAACGGCGTCTGCAAATGCCTGTGCATCTAAAGCCCCTGCGAGACGGATCTTTCAAATCGGGTCTGCTCCACAATAGCTCCCAATTTCTGATTTATGGTTCAGAGTGTTTTTTGACGCTCACACTCGGACTAGCCTGGCAAGGTCTGCAGCAAGGTTGAGAGTTTTAAGGGTTTTGGGGGCTCGTTGTACTGAGGACCTCCTCTGTTTGGAACAAGCCCAATGTTGCATAGCTGCAACTTCCTGTTTCGGAGTGCAGTACTCCAGCTCGAGATCAGCTGCCGTCCGACGGCGTAGGATTTAGAAACATACGGGAAAAGAATCCATCAATGCAGCAGATCTTGCCGGAATGGCGCAGCTTTCGCAGCCGGAAGAGGCAGTTTAAAAAACGAGGCTTCGCAAGCGCGACACGTTGCCTCTGGCCTGCCTCCTCGGCAGGAGGCATGGCCACGTGACAAAGCCGTCCGCTCCCCCCATGATTAGCCTCCCTGCTAATATCGAACAATACATGTGTTCGAGGAGACTTTGGCCCGGAGTGCACCCAAAGAGTTCAAAAGGGCCGAGGCTACAGCGAGTAAGGCTTATTAGGGGGAATATTGGGGTTGCCGAACAGGTTAACGAACCAGAACAATTAGTTACTTAACTTAACCTGCATCGAAGCAACTCTCTCTCTCTCTCTCTCTCTCTCTCTCTCTCTCTCTCTCTCTCTATTTTCTTGCAGGCCTTCAAAATAGTCTCAACATTCGAAACGTTAGGATGGCGAGACGAATGTGTACTAGAACGCGTGAATGCAATTTCTATCCCTCTCAAGAATGAAGGCGAACATCATTTAGAATAAAGCACTGAGCAATTGAAGGATCGCAAGTTCTACCCTCTAATGTTGGTTCAACATCAGGGGGTGTGGTTTAATATCGGAGGGCGCGGATTCATGCTCATGCTTCACCATGAAGTGACCTAGCGCTCAAACACATCTTAGTGGAGTTTCCCAGTTGATGAGTGCATCAAGAAGTCGGATCTCTTTCGGAATGGGTACAGGGCATACGCCATGCACATAGCCAGCCCCCAATAGCAGCGTCATCAGCACATAAGAAAACAAAGAGCTAGGCGACATGAGTGCGATGACCTCCACCAAGGCGAGGGGTCGCTGGCCATGGAGGGCCAAAGGCGCTGCTTCGTAGTTTGCTCCCTGATGATCTATGAGCAACAGCTGCTTGGGATGCAGGACTGGCTGTCGCTCGTAGTACGGCGACAACCTTCGGCGCCAATAATCGCTACGTGGTAAGACATGCACCAGCACGTCTTCCAGTACTTCCAACAGTATACAGCAAAAAATCAAGATGACACACTGCTTGTTGAGTACGGATGTCATACTGAGTCCACCAGAAACCATCTCAGCAACCAGCAAGCCAAGCACTGCAACATACTGCGCGTACCCACTATAAAGCCTCACATCATGCAGGATTATATGACTCAGGCCTGGGCACATCCTATCACACCATGGCAAAGTTCGAACTAGCAAGCTGTGCAGTAGCTGCGTCCTCTCAATGAGGTTGATGCTGACGTTCAGCAGGACACTAGGCAACCAAGCCCAGCTCGGACTCCGCGCAGTTTACCGACAGAAGGCTAACCAATCTGACGGCCTCGCAATACGCATGTGTCATCGCCACTGGAACTGTGAGATAGCGGCGCTGATCGCCGAAAATACCTTTGCTGCCGTTGATCGAGCTTCGGGGCGTGTAGATGAAGGTGGTGTAGGAAGCATTCAGGATCCTGCTGACGGCCTTCTCCGTTACACTAGTGGAAACGGCGAGGAATAGTGCGGCAGCTTGCGGAGAGGACATCTGCATCCGCACATAAGCCAAGGAGACGCCACCGAGGAAGACCCAAGTTCCAAGTGTGGTGAGAATGTGGGCGCACGTCCATGCTGACTGATGATACCAATCCAGAGACGACATCTGAGCTTCACCTGAGAAACGACGAGACAGAAGATGTACAAAAACACAAGTGCCGAGGTAGATCAATGTCCCTCCTGAACTCGCAGTGAAAACTGAACAAGTCATCAAGCTAACAGCTGTGCTCCGGAAGCTCACCGCCCACCCGATGGGCAAATACAGTGACCCCATGCATGTGATGAAGACCACAGCCCCCAGGCCGCAAAACCACAGGGGTGGATGGCGGCCGAAGAGGGTCATGCCCCAATATCGCGGATATATCAAGGCGCCCATGGAGAGGCCGGGCCCTAGCACCCAGGACAGCCGCCACCACGGCCAGTGTTTGGAATCGGCGGTGGCCTCGAAATGCTTCATGATGACGAAGTAGGCTGTGAGGAATGCGAAGTTCTGCAAGAGAGCGATGACGACCGAGGTTGCAGTGGTTGTTGCCAGAGGCATCGCCTCCTGAAAACCCACAGACACGTCCAAGCTCTTGACCTCGGCCATGGAAGAGCACACGGCTTGGCCGTGGCCTACATAGGAAGGCCCGCAGAATACCACTGCGCCTGACATAGCCCACAGCAAGTTGCCTCGCATTTCGTTATAAACCTCGATGCCACATTCGCAACCGGAGTCATCGACCTTCACACGATAACACTCGACATCCCTGAGGTCCAGGATGTCAGGTCCAAACGCCAACCGCTGCACAACCATATTGCCTCCTCATCCGATGAACCACTGGAGAGGCAGGGTCGCTGGCTGGCGGAGGGTTCCATACGAAGCTGTCCATATTCAGCTTCGCACTTCGCAGATTCCCATTCAAAGGCTTCTCTTTCACGCATGCTTGCTGGGGTCGGTTGGTCCACAGCAGCAACGCCCTACCCCCTTCCCTTCGCCGCCTCCTGAGAAGCTCTACGGCCTCGCCACAACTCCCGATGATGATCAGGTTTACATCGACCAGGTCCACGCCCACGGCAAGTGGCACGACCTTCGCGACTTCTTGCTCGGTGTCAGAGTGGTTGGTCTGATTCTGGGCCCCGAGCACGTCAGGCTGCGGTTGCGAGGGCGAGCATGTTCTTGCGATAGATTTGAAGAGCCCAAAAGAGCGTGCCTGAGGAGGATCCTGGCTGGAGGACGGGGTACTCTTCTGACTACTCTGGTGCTTCGTTGGCGATGGCTCTGGGAGCAGCGCCGTCAGCGACACGCGTCTGGGTTCGGCTGGTGCTGGTGCAGGTATGGTCCGCGCCTTCTTCTTGTTGTTCGCAGTCGGTATTCCTGCTGCTCGTGCACTTGCAGTGTCGTCCCCATCGGTTGGGTGCACGCTCACTGGTTTCGAGGGCGAGCATGTTCTTGCGATAGATTTGAAGAGCCCAAAAGAGCGTGCCTGAGGAGGATCCTGGCTGGAGGACGGGGTACTCCTCTGACACTTCTGGTGCTTCGTTGGTGATGGCTCTGGGAGCAGTGCCGGCAGCGACACACGTCTTGGCTTCTGATGATTGGGTTCGCTGTGCTCCCGCCCAACCAAGGACGGCGGTTCATCGCTGGGTGGCGCTGGTGCAAGGTGGGTCCACGCCTTCTTCTTGTTGTTCGCAGACGGTAATTCTGCTGCTCCTGCACCGGCAGTGTCGTCGCCATCGGCCGGGTGCACACTCATTGTGAGCAGTGCGCTGTGCACACCTGAGCCGCCGCGAAGCCACGCCAATACGGCTCAGGATTTGCGCATTCACAACTCGTTTCAAGATTTGGTGTTTAGGATTCAGGGTTCAGGTTCAGTATACATTATGCTCTGGTGTAGCTGCTGAGCCCTAATGCACGCGCTTCGCAAAAGCATCCCTGGCACAAGACTTCCGGGGAGCGCAGAACCCGAGGCTCGCCCCTCAAATCCTCAACTTTGTGCCGTCCTCTGCGCTGGCCAGCTGGAGATCCCAGGTCAGTCTCCGCCTGTCAGATCCATTCTGCACGATTACGGTACACTGTGCAGGACCGAGGACGTCTGCAGAATGAACGGGAAAAAGGCAGAAACTGCCAACAGAGTTGTTGTCGTGGCGGTGGTGCAGAGGCAGTGGTACAGGTATAGGCATACCGTAGAAGCTTGGGTAGTAACGGTAATACACGTCCCAGTCTAGTGCGGAGGGCCTGAATTTTCAAGCCATGAGAATGCTGAAGGATGCTGCTTACTGCTGACACGCGCCACTGAACACTAGACTCGACATGAGACAAGAGTGCACAGTGATTGCATGCAAGTAACATATTGAAACCACCACCACCACCACCACCACCACCACCACCACCACCACCACCACCACCACCACCACTGGTAACAATGCATCACGCAAACCCACCCAATAACCCCCCACCCCACCCCCAACCCCACCCCGTCATCTTCGGCAACGATGTGCTCGGCCACAAACTGGCTTTCCGTCATCAGGCCTTCCCCAAAGCGCCCCCTGTGCCTGGATGCTCAAGAAAGGGGAGCAGGGGCGGGGTTGACGGAACCCGACCCTCAAGTTCTTAACATTCCTTAACCACATTCTCGCGGCATGACTCCCTTTCCATCATCCGCCAGTCTTGTGGCCTCAAGCACCTTGGCCCCGCACGAAAGCATCGAAGTCTTCAAGACGACAGACGGGCGACCGAAGCACAAAAAGAATGCAAGGTAAGGATTGGCTTGTTCAGCATGGAGGCACGACCTAAAAAGCGTACATTGTAGTACATACCCCTTCACTACCTGCTTACTTACACTACATTGCAAGACTCTGCGCACTCCGCGTTCCCGAATCGACTCCCTAGGCCCTCGGCCCTGCACCCAACATCTGAACGAGATTGATTGGTGATGTAGGATGAGGAGATTTTGCCTCCCGCCTGGTTAGGACGAACCTATTCGGACTATTCGGGTTTTTGGGGGTTCCTTGTTATAGTTACAGTATGATCTCTCGCCCAACCCTATTCTAAACAGTAAGGGTGGCCTCGAAAAGGCCATCTTTCAAGGTTAGGTCGGCGGGGGCGTCGGCCATTGCGGCGTCGGTGCTAGTCTTGATCATTCCCGGACCCACCAGGAAGCAAGCAAGATAACACTCTTGCAAAAATCGTCCTAACCCCGACAATTAAAAAAACACCAGTGATAATGATGCGACTTTGAGCTGCAGCGTGACTGCATCACTGAATGTGGTCTCAAGATCTCCGCATGTTACTCACGCCCCTTGCTGAGCCGAAAAGGCAATGCAGCATGGCATGGTTTGGAACTTCTGGTTTTCCGGCTAGCTTGTTGAAAGTTAGGACCATGTACCTTGAGAACACTGGTGTTGGTCATGTCCCGCCAAGAACAGTTGTGGGCGAAACAATGCATGCAGAACCTGTCCTAAGAACACACACACACACACACACGGCATGAACTCTGACCAGGGAAAGACACAGCCAGACCGGCTTTCAGAGATGGGGTCCAAAGGCATCTGTGTTTCAGGCTCCAGACTCATCTTCCCTGTCCGATCCCGACTGCCTTCCACTGAAGCCCCACAGGGTTGCAATTTCGATTGCTTCGCATTTCTTGATTTGAGCCGTTGGGGTCGAGTGCCGGCTTCGACATTTCCTTTTCACAGGGTTTTACCAAGGTCCGGAAGTCTTGCGGCCTCTTCTGCCTTCTAAAAAGCACAGTCATACACTATCAGCCACCAACTGTCCCGAAGCCCGAGAACCTGTTCATCATACCCAGCCTATCAAGCCCTAGCTTTCATGTGATAGATGCACAGCATTCCAAGCCTGAACCTCCAGCAGCACCTGTACTCAAACCACCACCACCACCACCACCACCACCACCACCACCACCACCACCTTCTTTATCTATCATCCCTTGGGTGCGGTGCCCCAGCTATCCCGGGCTTCGCGCCGTGCGGTGATCATGTCCTCGTCAACTTGGAGGCGAGCTCAACAAACGTGACATGATGCAGTCTCTGGCCCTGCCATGGGACGGCAAGATATGAGGCCGTTACTGCACTAACCCGAGCCACTGCGCGATCTGAATCCTCTGGTTGTTCAGCAGCTCAGTCGTTGGCGAAAGCCACAGAGCTACGAAGTTGGAGCTGGCTGAAATGGTTGCTTGTCTTCTCCACAACTGCCATTGCTAAGGTCTGAAACTGGGTCCGTAGAGATGCTTCGAGGCGCTTCAAACAGCAGAGTCAAGTTCAGGATTTATGTGAGCTCGTGATTAGTAATGGTCCCCATCAATAGAGCTAAACTCGGGCTGCACGTAGTAATAAACCCCCCCTCAATAGTCGTAATTCCCGTCCCGGCTTTGTTTGTTTAAGGTTCAGGTAATGGGCGTTGTTGCAGAGAGGCCCAACCCAAGAAACAAAGAGCCTACTACCGCACGGCGACTGTACTACTGTACTTGTACTACTACTGTGCTACTACTATACTACTGTACTACTACTGTACTACTGTAATACTGTACTATTAATTGCTACTGTACTACAACTGAGAGCCCCGGCCCCCAACTTAGTCCCCGGCCCCCCCAAACAACTAAAGATGATCAGGCCACCACCAATGCGGATTGCTACTGTACTACAACTGAGAGCCCCGGCCCCCAACTTAGACCCCGGCCCCCCAAACAACTAATACTAAAGATGATCAGGCCACCACTAATGCGGATTCAGGATGTTCGGGGGGGGGGGGGGGGTTACTCATCAGTCAGGAGATCACATTAGGTGCCCCTCAGCCCGAATGCCTCAAGCAGAATGGCGGCCAAAGGCCAGCGGACAGCGCCGATGGCCGCACCGTAACCTTGCCGTCATGAAAAGAGTAAAAAGATAGAAGCTAGGACATTGCGCGATGTCCGCAGACTGTGTGCTTAAGATTTCTCGTTTGAGAGCGCGCCGAAAAAAAGCCGACTTTGCAATTGCAAAGGCAGCCTCTTCATTCTGGACCCCCGAACCCTCTCGCAACTGAAATCCAGACATTGGAGAGTTTCGGTGCTCAAATAAACCTTTTGCAGAGATGAGAAGCATGAAAAACCTGCAGCGCCACCATGGAAATTCGCCAGTACATGACAGGCTCCCGACGCAACGAGTTGTCTTACGATCACGGTCCTCAAAACTTGGAGTCTTTAACCGAAGCCAAGCTCGCACATGGATGCAACGCATACATACATGCGTACACACGACGAAAAAAATGGTGCCGCGTCGCCGCGTCGCAGGCTCCCCCCCCACCACCCATGGTATGCCCCCCCCGCCCCCAAGCCAGGCCTCTCGTCCCATCAAGTGGGGTGGGGAAATCCACCCAGGGAACCACAGGGCTCCTTCCCATTCCCCTCTCCTCGACACACAAACGAGAATGATGGGGTTGATGCTGCGCACAATGATGTTGATGTGCTAATCCCAGTGTGGCTGTTGGTGGTACCTTTGCTCTTATGTTGCTCTGGGCTCCGGCACTGAATAGTCATTGCTTTAGTTGAAAACCGTGCTTGGCTTGTGATGTTCTTGCAAATAACTGTATCGACCGTTGTCATTCCAAGCCAAGTTTCGGTTGAGCTTGAGCGCATGTTGAGCAAGGGACCGGAGGAGAGTGCGGATGGGGATCATGACCGCCATCTGTGTCATCATCATCACCATCATACTCATCACTACCATTGGCTTTGGAGCTCAGGGCAGGTCGGAGTTCAATGGAACTGTGTCACATCCTACGGTCCAAACCCTTAGCAACCGGACGCCCAGCAATAGCCATGGAAGGGAGCACAGCCGACCGTAACCACAGGGGGGAGGGGCAGGGGGAACCCACACCACAGGGAACCACAGGGGGGGAGGGGGGGATACCATGGGGTGAGGGGGGTGAGGGGGGGGGGCCTAGCAGCGCTGCACCATACATGCCTGAACGCATACAGGCAAGCAACAAACATTCATACACACGAGCAAGAAACAAACGGACACAAACACAACCTGACACAGAGATACACAGTAGAAATACAGCACGAACAGGCCAAGCCTGCAAATGATCACATGTAATTATGTGCAACGAAATATGCATGTATGTATGTATATAGGGTTCCCGAGCGTCAGTGCCCCCCCCCGCCGCCCCGCCCTCCATGCACGCACATAAACATGCGATTGCAGATACGCGTATGTCTGGCTCACATGCCAGTTTACCTACAAACCCCGCTTCAGAAGTCAAAGTGCTGAGGATCTGGCAAGTGGCGTTTGCTCGAACTGTCGAATGCCTCGCTACATCAAACTTGTTTTTTCGATGCTCACACTCGCACAAGGCAGGTAAGGCCTACACCAGACTTTGAGGTGCATTGTAGACACGACCAAGCCATGTATTGAAAAACCGAGCACGACAGTCCTACGGACCCGTGTGCATACTTACTCCTGCTTTTGAGCCTGTCGTGAGGAGTATTGCTGCCACTCTAGCAAAGACGAGATCGGCACAGAGAATGCCTGCTGCCAGAGCCTACATTCGAAGTCTGTGCACAACTTCAAGTTGTCCGAATCCCCAAACCCTAAACCCTCAGCTAGGGAGTTGACAAGTCCAGTTATTCCGGAACGGCTCAGGTCCGAAGGAGAAACAACGAATTGAAGCTAGCATCATCGACGGAGAGTACTCTCCCGATCTATCAAGATCCCAAAGCAGATCAGGGCTATCAGTTTGCGCTCTCGCAACTCGGACACAGCCAGACGAGGTGTCTCGCTACAAGGCTCTTAGTTTCGGCCCTCATACTCGGACAATCCAAGCGAGGCGCATGTAGTTCGAAGTCTGTTGAGTGAGACAAATCTACTCGGGGATTCTCAGGTTGCACGTAACGTGAGGACCCTAACTAACGGTGCAACTGTCCTCCTTGAGATCCCTCCGGCAAGTGAGTAGCCTAGTTCGGGGATTTCAAGGCTCTTAGTTTAGGGGTGTGGGAAATCAAGAGAGAAAAGCCATTTTCACAGCATACTGCCGAATTGAAGATGTCCCATAACCAGCTTTCACAACAACATATTCTCTGAAAGGAAATGGCGCGACTGCACTTGCTGTGGGGAACCTGCGTCTCAGTTTTTTCTCACCGTCCAACCTGCAAAATTTCCTGATCTGGTCACAAGTGACCCCTGCTCTACTGCCCACTGTTCATGTGCCGCGATAAAAGTAAACCCACATCAAAGAAAAGAACCTCATAACTCATCGCAGCCTCATCGATTCTAGCAATGCCAGCGCACTCCTGGAACCAAATCAGGCTAAACTTCTCAGTCGGCTTTGGCACAGAAATCGAACGCGAAGGCAGGAAAGCAACACACCTGTGCCGTTGTTACAGAAGCAAAATCTAGTACTGGTCGTAGCCGTCGTCGTAGGAGTAGTTAGTAGAAGTGGCCGCAGCAGTCGGCGTTGCAGTCGTCATACTACGCGGCCAGTAGAGGCAGTAGTAGTAGTCGTCGTAGTAGTAGTAGTAGTAGCAGCAGCAGTAGCAGTAGCATTAGTACTATTCATTATGAGTAGTAGCAACAATTCCAATGAAAAACACTCATGATAGAAACAAAAGTACTCGTAGCAGCAGCAGTAGTAGCAGCAGCAGTGGCAGTGGCAGTGGCAGTGGTGGAAGGCAGCAGTAGCAGTCGCACTCGCAGTCGCCGTCGCGGTAGCAGTACCAGTACCAGTAGCAGTAGCAGTAGGAGTAGGAGTAGGAGTAGTAGTAGTAGTAGTAGTAGTAGTAGTAGTAGTAGTAGTAGTAGTAGTAGTAGTAGTAGTCGTAGTAGTAGTAGTAGTAGTAGTAGTAGTAGTAGTAGTAGTAGCAGCACTACCAGCAGCTGCAGCAGCAACAAAAGTAGTGGCAAGAGTAGCACAATCAGTAAGAGAAAGATTAATAGCAGGATATGAATAGTGGCGGACGCTCACTGCTTACTCCCTTGGTGATTGTATGATGTCAGCAAGAGAGACTCCAGATCTGAGGAACAAACTCCCACTCGCCCGCTCGCTCGCAGGCACTGATTGCCGCAGCAAAACTCACGACCTATTGAC